TGTTCTTCGATAATATTTTCAGTCCGATATTCCTCTAAACTAAATTGAGGGTCACATATTATTTGATTATGAGAGCATGAATGGTTATTGTTCAATTTTTAAAAGTAAAAAATTGTATGGGGGTACTTGATAGGTGGTATAAAGCTTGTGACTTAAGGGGCTTGTAATGTAATTTTGTAGCTTGACAATCTCGTCTTAATATATATCCTTAAAAGCACAATCTCAATACAAAATCATTTGGAGGTTTTATGATCTTTGAAGATATTATAAAAGCTGCGGAATGTATATATAGAGAAAAGAGATGAATGGATGGAGCAAGATGAGGAAAAGATAAAAGAATCGATGATTCATAATCTGTCTCGTATATGTATATAGGAATAGAATTTTGTTACACAATTTAAAACTCTTTTAGTTTTACATAGATTTATGACAGTTAGATGAGTAAAAATAAATGATTGAGATTAACAGTATGAAATGAGAATATATTTACTGGGGGGAAATAGTCAATCTCAATAATCTATTTTCACTCATCCAACAATTCTAAATTTGTGTAAAACTAAAGAGTTTTACTTTGTATAAATGGATCTTGACCCATTATGTGATATGATCCTGTTACACAATGTAAAATTCTTTAGTTTTACACAGATTTAGAACTGTTAGATGAGTAAAAATAGATGATTGAGATTAACAGTATGAAATAAAATTAAAAGAGTTTTACACAATATAATATATATATATATATATATATATATATTATATTTTTTTATTATTTATTTTAGTTTTATATTTTTACTCATTCAACGATATTAATTTAATTTAAAATTAAAAGAGTTTTATATTATGTAACTGGATCATATTTCATATGTATATATAACACTAATTATTATTAGATAATTTGATATATTAAAAAATATAATTTTAATTTTACAAATAAAATTAAAAAATTAACCCTTTTTTATTTAAAAATTTAAAATTAAACAAATAAGATATTATTTGATAATTAATAAGGTACAGTGATTATTAATTGGACAATTGAAAAGATATTAGATGCATTAATGGAAGGAACCTACCACTCTCCGCGTTGTCACAAAAATTACCTATTTTCCTTCAAAAAGGGAAGAAGAAAAGTCAAGCTAAAGGGAAATGAAATTACCATTCCAGGCCCGGACAATTTTGAACAATACATGAAGTTTACATATAACACCTTCAACTACACTAGATATGCAATTATTTACTTCTCATAGCTTAAAATGATATTTTTATTATGAAATAATAATTCGAGTCAAGTTAGATCAATACTCATTCACGAAGCTCGTTACGACCCAACCAACATGTGACAATCCACCAAAAAATAATAAAACCACATGCACAAAAATGGCAAGTACATCATTTTCAACAATTCTTTTATTTTCTAAATCGCAAGACCATATTTAAGACGAATACTTTAGGGTGGAAAAACCGGTTCACACAGGAAGATGGAAACAGAGATTTATCCAACTGTTGATTAGAATTAAGGATAGCAAGCCTGTAACGAAAAGTAAACTATATTCCGCTAGGAAAAAAAAACGAAGAATCAATCTCATTTATCTTTTTTCACTCATCTAACGGTTCTAAATTTGTGTAAAACTAAATAATTTTACATTGTGTAAGTGGATCCTAACTCATATACACACGCACTATATTTCTAGCAGTAAAAGTTAATACATATACAAGACATTCGACAGATCCACGTAATATATCATAACAAAATTTAAGATTTAACAATAAAACTTATTTAGTTTAATGACCTACAAGTAACTAAGCTAACTTTATGTCTGCCACCATCTTCTAAGAATGTTATCTCAAAAAGAGGTAGAAATTGTTTTTCCTTAGTGCGTCTATGTTCATGCAACCAAAATCTTCATATAAATGCATTTTCTATTCATTGAAATTTATTTTTCTAGATAGAAATATATAATGTATATTGACAGATATTGTGGTAGCAATAAATAAACAAATTGAATATAGAACATAACATAAATAAAAAATCAAGCTCGCATTAATATTTACGAGTAAACAAATAAAGTCAAAAATAATAACTAATTCATATTGCAAGATACCGAATACTATATCAATATCAAGTCTTTCGATAGTAATATTAGCAGTAAACGACACTCTTGTTGTAGTAATCAAACATTGATAATAAATTATGTCAAACAAAAGACTAATATTTGGATTAATGTAATGCTCACATTAAGTCTTGCCCGTCTAGCTCAGTTGGTAGAGCACAAGGCTCTTAACCTTGTGGTCGTGGGATCGAGTCCCACTGAGGGTAATTCATAACGAAGGTCTTCAACGGAAGCTGCTCTCAACCTGGCATTGGGGGTAGCCTACTACCCTACCTCCCCCTTACCCCATTACATATGAGAATAAGGTCAGCTAATTAAAATTAATGCACACATTAAATACCTTATAATTGTCACATATTTATTGCTATAGTTGTAGCTTGAAATCCGATCAAATTTTAATTTTTCTTTGGGTCAATTAATAAACACATGAATTACAAGCACACATAATCATCTTGATATTTTAAATAAATTAATATACACAAAAGATGTCATTTTAGCAACATTTTATTTCAAGGAATCCACTAAAATATCATACATAACCAATATGTGAATTTATTTATTTCAAAAATATATATATCTTTTGGTTGAGTAAAAAATATTTATTCTAATAACCAACGATAAAAAAATTAAAGTTTTGATTAAATCAAATTGAATATATACATATTTCATATATTTTATTAACAATATACAAAATCATATAAATATTATCAATTAATTAATTTTTTCTTATCTTTTATGTCATATTTTATGATAACAATATACATTGAAAATATGTGCTTATAATTATAGATTTAATCCAACATATTTTCCCTTTTTCCCTTAATATATTGAACTAAATTGGCATAATGCCAAAAATAACCCCCAATATTTATCAAAATGGTCATTTTGGCTCCTATTCTTTTTTTATTTGGAGTATTTTAGCCCCCAACGTTTTACTTTAGGGCAAAAAGCTCCCTCTATATATGAAAATCATTAGTTAACAGACGATTAACGCTCCAAAATAAGAGTCTTTTTAAACCTAAAATGAAACATCAAGAGCTAAAATGTCCTAGAAAAAATAATGGACAAAATAATTATTCTGTCAAATGTTAGGTACATTTTTATCCTAAAATAAAATATTGAGGACCAAAATACTCTAAAACCAAAATATAAATAAAAAGACCATTTTAATAAATATTGGGAGACTAATTTTTATATTATGTTAACTAAATTTAATAATGTGCCCAAAATAATGAATGTGCACTTATCCCTATAAAGTTTAATCATGCACCCCTACTTCAACCACACAAATATATCCTCTTTGCTTCCCCTACCATGAAAACAATCGAGCTTATTTGTCAAATGAACATATCAATGGAGTATGCTATAAATTTAATCGATTCTACAAAATTTTACCTAGCATTATTAAACTAGTGATTGATATTAATGAATCGCGATCACTACATTCTTCCGTTTTTTATCTTATCAACTTTTTTAATAGACTTTACTCTGGAGATAAAAATAAGTCGGGTTTAAATATTGTTGACATCGACTCGAAAATTTAAAGTTGAACTCGATTCGAAAACTCGTGAGTTTAAAATTTGTTAAGTCCGACTTGAACTTGAACTCAAAAATAGAATTTGACACAACTCGAACTGAAGTCTGACATCAAAACAAAAATTGAAGCTCAACTCGAAATCGAAAAAACTTAAAGTAGAAACATTCTCAACCTTAACTTGATTGAAGCTCAAATTCGAGCTTAAACCTTAAGTACACGAAAGTCTTATATTAAATTTTAAAAAACAACAACATATACATATTAAATTATTAATAATTTTATTTAAAAATTAAAATTTAACATATTATTTTTTCGAAATACTCGCAAGCTTTTCGCATCGGGTATCATGTAGTTCTGTTCAGCTCGTTAAAAACTCAAGTCGAGTCTATTCGAATATAATAATAGTCAAACTTTAATCTAATTGAACTTAAATAACTCATGATATATCTTGTCTCATTTACAATCCTATCCTACCATATTCTCTTTGTCTAGACAAGTTAAACATTTACACAGATGACATGAATTTTTAGCCAAAAATAGAAAATATTAAATTTAACTTAAAAATATTAAACTTTATTATTAAGATTTTAATTTCAACAAGATCAATTTCATTTGAATTTTGTAGAAATTCAAATATTAAAATATAATTTATTGATAAATTTATAAAAATAATATTTATTTAATAAAATATCACCCAAATAATTTATAAATACGCTCTATATAAAACGGGAAAAAGTGGTTGAATAATGCATTGGAAAAATTCTTCACATAGTGCAGTCGAACAATTATTTGTCTCCATAGGTCTCCAAGAGCACATGACGACCTCCATAGGTCTCCAGGAGTACACGGCGACCTATGGAGCACTTGACGACCTCTATGCGAGAGAAGAGTTTCAAAGCGAGGGAAGGGAGAAGAGTTGCTGCAACAGAGAATGCTTTGTCGTAAGGAACACTTGACGACCAATGAAATCACTGTAACAAATGCCTCAATTTAAGAAATAATTTGATTAGAACCATATGAGAAAATATTTTCCAACGCCGTACATGGCGAGGAAGCCATATAAAACGTGTTTGCATTTTATCCTTTACCCATGTGTAAATATAAAAGGGTATTATTGTCACAAAATTACCTTACTCAAGAGAGGCATTTTATGGGAACGAGAAGGCCACGGGAAACTGTTTTTATATACACATGGGTCGTCAAGACGGTTCCCACAGGGAAAGGAAGCCCACACCCAGGCAAATTATCGAACACATGGTAGGCTTTAATCTAGTGAGACCCTAAACTCAAAACCCTCTCATAATTTTGGAGAAAACGGGTGTCATATGAAAACATTTTAGAATCTGGAAGTCAATTAGTGAAGCAGGACAACGAGAAATCAAGGTGAGTTTCCATCTCATTGATTTTGATCTTAAGTTGCTGTCTTTAGTGTTGAAGTTTCAGTTTTTGGATCAATGATTTATTCCATCTTCAAAAACCAAGTGTCCATAAGAAATGGCTCCTGGATTCTCCCAACTTGTGCTAAAAGTGTTAGTTTTTGCCGAATAAGTTCATTGTTTGTTGTTAGATATGAATCTGGAATTGCAGGAAAAGAACAGTCGTTTAGTATTTCTTACCTCATAAACACACTTGGGTTGTCTCCACAATCTGCGTTATCAGTGTCTAAGAAGATCCATTTTGAGACCTCTGAACAGCCAGACACTGTGATTTCCTTCCTCATGAACCATGGCTTTTCAAAACCCCAGATCAGAAGCATCATTCAGAAATGGCCTGCATCTCTTTTATGCAATCCCGAGAAAACACTTTTGCCCAAATTTCAATTCTTTTACTCCAAAAGAATTTCGGGTGTTCAACTTTTAAGAATCCTGTCTTCAAACCCTGATATCTTGAGATATAGTTTGGATAACCGCATCATCCCAAACTTCAATGCCTTGAAGGAGTTCACTCGATGCAACGATGATCAGGTGTTTTCAGCATACAGGAACTATTCTAACATTCTTTCGTGTGATTTTCGATCTATGATTGCTCCTAATCTTGCAATCGTGAAAGAATGTGGGATGCCTGAACCAACTATTATGGTTGAACTTGTTCTCCACCCAAGAGCCTTTGTAATGAATCCTGATAAGTTTAGAATAACGGTCGAAGAAGTAAAGAAATTGGGATTTGATCCTTTAAAACGTAGCTTCCTTACGGCTCTTCAAGCTTTCTTTCAGATCAGTAAATCGTCATGGGATAAAAAAACCAATGTTCTTAAACAATGGGGATGGTCTAATGAAGTTGTTCTTTCAGCTTTTGTGAAGTACCCGAGATTTATGATGTATTCTGAGCAGAAGATCACTGCGGTAATGAGCTTTTTCGTCCATACAATGGGATGGAAAGCATTGGAGATCGCTAAGCATCCTGTTCTTATTTCGTTTAGCTTGGAGAGAAGAATCATCCCAAGGTGTTCGGTTCTCCAAGCTTTGTTATCAAAAGGTTTGATCGAGAAGTTCAATATTTGTTTTATGTTGAAATGTACCGAAAAGGAATTCCTCCAAAGGTTTGTGATCCCTTATGAAGATGCTTATTTATTGAAATTATATGAGCAGCAGTTAGGCCTTTGAAACATAGTATGACTTTAGATTACTTTGATCCGGGTTTGAGTGTCGGATATGAATATAAATCAAACGCTCGTGTTGGATACGAGTACTTCAAAAAATTCTAAAAGAGTCCTAACAGCATAGGCATTATTTAGATGCTACAACTGAACAAATGTGCATTTGCCTGTGATTGTTTGAAGATTGAATTTATCTCCTTGCTCTTCATTTGCCTTGCATTAATGTATTATTGGCTTTCAATTGTTTTAATCCTTATTGAGTGAAGTGATGAACCATCTTTTCCACATTTGTGCTTAACTTTTGGGTCACACGTGTTGACATGAAAATACAAATAAATAAAGATGGACTGATGATGTACAAATTTATGTATCGCTAGTTAATCTGATGATTACACATTTATTGATGTTACATTAATAAAATGTAAAGAGTTCACATAATGAAACAATGAAGGTAATTAGAACACAAAAAACTACAAAAATGTTATATAAACTACATAAACAAATGAACATTCAAATTTATAATACCTTTGATGTTAGTGTGATTTATTCAAATTCATAATTTTCAAAGGTTTATAATATTAATATTATGGATTCCCCCCCCCCCTCCTTTTAATATATGTCTATTTTTTTATTGAAATGAAATCAATTTAGACAAGCGATATTTAAGAAGTTTTATGTCTATAAAAAGCCCAAAATTTTACTAAATTAAACACTGCTCAAAATAGATTTGGATTGGAATGATTTGACTTCCCAAATTAGCATTATCTATTCCTTTAGATTTGACATTATAATTCTCATCCATCCAATAATAAATTTTGCAACAATGATACTGTACCTCTTTCTGCTTCTTTGGTTGGCTCCATCATGGAGCTATGGAGTCAGCTTCGACCCCTTCACAGATAAAACAGAAATCACCCATCACGGTGGCCCAATCCTCACCAGAGAGGTGAATCTAATGCTCATTTTTTACGGAGATGACCATGACGATGATCAGAAGAATCTGATTAGGAATTTCATCAAATCGTTGAACGAAGATAGGAAAGCCACCAGTGATAAAGGTGTGCCTCAGGTTTCCACTTGGTGGAAAGTGGTTGAAGCCTACCAAGCCGCGGTTCCCGGAGCGAATGCCGGAAAACCACCTGAGATCAAGGTCATTGCGGACAAACAGAAGATTACCAGTCCTAAATATGGGAAAGTCTTGACCGATCAAGAAATTATTCCCAATCTCATCAAAGACGTCACTCATGGAGATAATAAGGTCATCCCCGTCATCGTAGCCGCGAAGGATGTAACCGTCCAAGGACTCTGCACCGGAAAATGTGCTGATAAAGGCGTTGTTGGTAAGTTTCCGGTAAAAAGTAACGTGAATTACTCTTTGATTTCTTTACTTTCTAAAAGGTAAATTTTATTATATCACTTGATGATGAGATATATATGTGTTACACTAAACATATGATATAATATATGTTGTGTTATTAAAGTAATAATATAATATATATTATATCATTAATTAGATACATATAAAAATATAATATCAACAACATATGTTGATCGTTAATTAATTAATATTTTTTATTTAACTTAACTATTTTAACAAAAAAATAAAATATCAAAGTTAAAATACTCTAAAAAAAAGTTAGATGTTAAAGTGACCATTTGAACCAACGTTGAAGATTAATTTTGTCATTACACCATCAAAAATATCTATAATGTTTGATTATATAGTCATTTTAGCTTATATTTTTTTAAAGTATTTTAGTCATGCCATTTCATTTTAGGTCAGGACACATAACATTTGATTAAATATTCATTTAAGCTTTTATTCTCTTTTTTAGTATTTTGACTCAAATATTTTATTTTAGGCTTAATATAAAAACAAGTGTCCAAACTATACCGTATTTCTCAAATATGTGCAAAAAAAATTCGGTCAATCTAGATGTCTAATGTTACAAACGTTACTACTTTAGGTGCCTCGACCGTAATGACCATTAAAAACCTCCGTTAAGTGACATGTGTCACGTTTTGATAATTTTGAAAATTTTATTTTTTTTAAAAAAATTAAAATTATTATTATATATAAAAAACCCTAATTTCTCTTAAATTATAAAAAAAACCAAAATCCGTAACCCGCCAACATCATCCTTGCTGGCCACGGTCACTGCCGTCGATGTCATCCTTGTCATCCCTCTAGTCAGGTGTCGTCATCTTTGTTGTCGATTGACCGTTGGAATCATGTGGGGTCGAAATTTGTAGCGTCGTGGTTTGTTGGGGGTCGCGTCGATTGGCTCATGTTCCGGTGGATTTTCATGGGATTATTGATCGTTGGGTGGGGTGAGGTAGGGTGGAGATTCAACAGCGACAAGGGGCGGCAACCAGATTGGATTTAGAGGTTAAAATTAGAGTTTTTATTGTTTTGGATTTTTTTAAAGTTTTTCGAAAATTTGGGTTTTTTTTTAAATATAATTTTTTTTAAACAAATTTTTTAAAATTATCAGAACGTGACACATATTACTTAACTGACTATTTTAATTTTCGTTATGACTGATGCACCTAAAGTTGTACGTTTGTAACGTTAGACACTTGGATTGATAGATAAAATGTTTGGGCACCTATTTAGAAAAATGATATAGTTTGATCACTTATTTTTATATCAAGCCTTCATTTTAAGATAAAAAAGGCTTAATATAAAAATAAGTGCCCAAACTATACATCTTTTCTCATTTAGGTGTCTAAATTTTTTTGGGTCAGTTTAGGTGTCTAACATTTCTAATATTATCATTTAAGTGTTTATGTCGTAACGACCATTAAAAAAATCCACTAAAAGTAAGTCAACCCATTAGTATTTAACACATGGCTTGATTTTTTATTTTATTTAATTTTTTTAAAAAATAAAATTCATAAAATCTTTAAAAAACTATTTTTTCATATTTTTCATAACATCCCCCAAGACTTTCAATTTCAACGCCGACCACCACCAATGACGACGATCATCAACTTATCCGCCGACCACCAGCCCACCAACCACTTGTCTACCGTTGAAATTTAGGGATTTTAGGGGTTTGAAGCAACGATTGATGACGACCAGTGGGTGGGTAGGAGGAGGTCGGTGGGTAGGGGCAACATTAATGATAGACGATAAATGAGTGGGGTCGATATTTGGGATTAAGGATTTTGGTACTTCTTTTGAGATCTTAGTAATTTTTTGAATAATAATAATAATTTTAAGTTTTTATTAAAAATAAAATTTTAAAATTTTATAAAGGCACCATGTGTCACATTCTAAGTGGTTGATGGAATTTTTTTAATGTATTTTACGTTTCAAGGCACCTAAATGATAACATTGAAAACGTTAGGTGCCAAATTTTACAAAAAAAAAATAGCCACCTAAATGGGAAAAGAAGTATAATTTAGGGGTTTTTATATATTAAGCCTTAAAAAAACTCAAATTTTAAAGCTTTGTTGATTAAGAATTTCGACAAACTAAAAACTTTTTACCTAAAAAAATATTAGAATTAAAATACTCTAATAAAAAATGAGTCTAAAATGGTTTCTTTACTTTCTTAATGGTAAATATTACTAGCAAAATTTTTCAATCTTTGATGGAATCATAGAGGGACATGCATACATCGTGGTGGGAAATCCCGAAACGGAATGCCCCGGAGCATGCGGATGGCCTTTCCAGGAGGCTGACAGTGGGCCAAAGGGGCCGATCCTAAAACCACCTAATGGCAATATGCCAGGCGATGCAATGGTGGTAGCCTTCGCCGGAGCATTGGTTGATACAATACTCAGCCCTCAAAATACTGGCTTTTTCGGTGGAAATGAGTTTGAACCGTACGGACCCGCAACGGTTTGCAGAGGCATTTTCGGTGAAGGTGCCTCCCCTGGAAACCCCGGTAAAGTCCTTACCGATCCAAAAACCGGTGGAAATTACAACGCTGTTGGAAATGATGGGAATAAATTCTTGGTTCCGGCGATTTGGAATCCTAAAACTAAATCCTGTTGGACTCCCATGATGAAAGGAGGCCCTTATGACTGATGGAAAAAGGCAGTACGATTACTTATTCAAATTGGTTTATTATTTTATTACTATTGTTTCATTCTTGAGAAAAAAATATTATTTTAATTAATACATTGAAATTCATGTATTTTTATTCAATAATATTAAGATTTGATTAATAGATTTGTTTACTTAGTTATTAATTATATTTTTTATCTAATCACTGATTTTTTTAATTTTATCAATTAAATCATTTAATTATTTAAATTATGTTAATCAAGTCATGTGTGTTATTTTTTTTATTTTAAGTTATTTAATTTAATAATTTTTTTATTCAGGTCATGATACATGTTATTGTATTGAAGGGGATTGAACCTACGAACTTGAAGTGACATTTAGTATATAGATTATAATAGTTTATATATATATGTCTCTTTGTTGATGGAAACATTTGGGTTGTGACAACTATAGACAATTATCACTTTTGGTTTGAGTGAAGAGCCAACATTGATGATGGGTCTATCTTTGGACGGTGTCGAAGTGTTCAATCTCTATAATGAGGTAGAAAAGAAAGACCATGGGTAAGATGATTCCATCCTTTATCTCAATCTTAGTCAAGAGGTTTTATAGTAACTCTTGGAGCTGGTGCCAAGCGTTTGGTTATTATGGCTGCTCTTAGATTGGCATGCTAGGTGAATATGTTCAGGTGACTATAAATTTGACTCTAGTAGGTCACATAGTCTGTTAAAGGTCATGTAAATAGGTCACAACTTTCCAAGGGATGTTAAATATTTGAAATCTTTCTACCAGAAACGTTTTTCCTATGTCTTTTAGAGGTGCTCATCTGAAATCCTACCTACGAAGAGGTTTTTTCTCGAAAGTTTAGAGGTGCAAGGGTGGAGATGACACACGAACAATGTTTGGTAGAGGTACAACATTTGTCCCCTTAGTTGAGGGAATGTCATAAAGTGACTTGACCCAAGACTTAGTCATTAATGGATCATTTTTGTGAAAATATCGTAACAATTATTTCTTGAACGACTCAAAGGTTTGAATGTGTGACATCTTGTGTTTAGTGTGATGAAATGACTCGTTATATTGACAGTTGGAGATGTATTGTCTCATCTAACTATATAAGGAGAATTTGAGTATCGATACTTGGGTGAAAATATTGATACTATCAATGAAAAATTGTTATAGATCTTATTTTAAATGAAATTCGAGTGTAGTATGATTAATGATACTTAGAAATAGGGGTGTAAAAGATGATCCGGCCTGTAAAACTGACTGAAATCGATTCATGTCAAAATTGTTTTTGACTTGAGCTGTGGCGATCCGAAACAGACTCGAGTCGGAACTGGTGTTGACCTGAACCCGAGTTAGACCTGAAAATTATGGATCTGAACCTGACTTGCACCCGACCTGAGAACGACCTGAACCTGAATTAAACCGAAAATATGATACCCGAACCCAAACTGCATCCGACTGATATGAACTCGAACCCGAGATTGACCTGGTAAATAACTGGTATTACCCGGCCTGTTTTCAACCTAACATGTTATGAACATGACCTGTAATTGACTCAAGCTGTAAATAATCTGACATGTTATTAAAGTGATATGATATTATCCTGAGTTATAAGTAAAGTTATAATTAATATAATTATGTTATTTTAAATTTATAATAAACTTATGATAATTAAATTAATATGATTACTTTTTGAAATTTAGTTTTTATATTAATTATAATTTGTATATTATAAATTTGGTTTTTATGTTAATTCTAATTCTTTATATTCTTTATATTTATTATATTATAAATTTATTTATAATCACTAATTAAATTTAAATATTATCTTATTGAACTTGATTTTATTAAATTATATAAATTGAGTTAAATATTCATAAATCTAATTTACTTTTAATGTGAAAATTGATTAATAATTTAAGTAAACTTAACTTGAAATTTTAAAATCAAATATTTTTGAAATGATTGAGTTATTAAATATTTAAAACTTGAATAACATTACAAATACTAAAACGAAAAATTATAAATGAAGTTAATTTTATTACACTTGAAAACACTAAATTACAATAAAATCAACTAACAAAATAAATTGGGAAATTGAGAAATTGGGAATTTAGAGGGAATAGAAAAATTTGGGAAGTTGGCGGCAAGGATAGTGTCCAACAAGATATTTTGGGTTAATTAGGTTCATGCTCCTCCAACAATCATCATTTTTCCACTTGTATTTGATTTTTGATTTCTTTCATTTTAGTCATGGTTTAATCGTAAATATCTTCTTGAATTTTCAATTCGATACAATTTAATCCTTTATACATTCTAATTACTTTTAATTTTCTATATATATATATATATAAACTATGTATAAACTATAGTTTATAAATTATAATTTATATTATATAGTATGTATATATATATGTATGTATAACTAATATAAGTAATCTACATATTATATATATATATAAACACTATGCATAAACTATATAAAGTAATAAATTATGTAGTTTATAGAAACCCTAAACCCTAACCCCTAAACTATATATGTAACTTCTAGTATATGTATGTATAAACCATGTATAGTATTTATAAACTATATATATATAACATATATATATATATATAAACTATATAAAGTAAATTATTTATATAGTTTATAGAAATACTATGCATAAACTATATAAAGTAATAAAATATATAGTTTATAGAAACCCTAAACTTTAAACCCTAAACCCTAAACATTAAATCCTAAACTATAAACCCTAATGTAAATGGACTAGCACTAATGCATGTATATTTGTAATAAAAGAGTGGGCTTATGTATTGGGTCTATGTAAACTAATGTAAATGGACTAGCACTAATGCAAATGGACTTATTTTTTTGTTTTATTATTATTTATTCATAACAACAAAATAAATGGGTTATTAATGTGAATTAACCTACCAAGCAACTAAAATACCAATTATGCAAATGAAATTAATATGACATGCTGTTGCGTTTTGTGAGTACTATAAAATATACGCAAATAATGTGCAAGTATACACAATCGCTCAAGTAATATAATGATGAGTGAGTATCGTCTCCACAGGGATTGGGTGAAATCACAAAAGTCTAACCAAAGCAATGCAATATTCTATCTAAGAATAGTTAGTCTTGATATATACAAATGTCACGGCAATGGATATGTGTATGCTGGTGGATGCGGATTGATGGTGTGATGGTGTAGCAAATGGAAATGCAGTGGCAATGATGGATGTTTAATATTGAGTATGGTGAAATGTCAAGGCAATGAGAAATGGTAAAAACAGTAAATAAAAAGATAAATAAAATAAGAAGAAAATAATCCTCACGTGATAAGCTTCCAATGAAATGAATGGTAAGGATTGGTCTAAGGTTGCTAAACTTATGTCTCAAGTATATCTAAGCTATCTTGTCTTTACTTACTCGACAGGGCTTTCCTAAGGTGTTCAAAAGAACCTAACAGAATAGGATGCCAAGGCATCTGCTCTCACTCAACGATGTTGGACAGCCTACCCTATTGATGAAGACACCCTTTTTAGTCGTTGAAATCCTATCCTAGTCTCTTCCGAGATCTAAGGGATTAAGTTATAATATTCCTAGGCCGGTTCAAAGCCCCTTGAAAATACCATAACCCATTGCTGATGAGGATCTTATCTTGCGTTTCTTCCGAATACTTACAAGTATTTTTAGTTTAGGATTCTTCCGAATACCTAACCTTCATCTAAGAGATGGACATTTCCATGCCTCTTACAAGCCTAGATGGTGAAGCATTCATAAGCAAAGCAAATAAAGAACAAAAATAAACTTAAATATACCATTAAAATAAAGTTTAAACATCCATTAAACCAACCACCACCAAATAAGTTAGTTCATGGTGGGGTTCGAAATATCCAAACACAAAGTCATGAAAATTCGTTCCAACAACCCATAAAATAATATAAAGAAATAGCAGCAAAAAGGGAAGTGAGAAGAAGCCTTCGACGCGCCACCGGAGGTCTCCTCTCGACCACCACGAACCACCTAGCTCGCTAGCTCCTTTCGGCGCCTAGCTTGCCACTCCTTGGAGCTTTATCAATGGAGGAATATTCCAAGGAAGAAGAAAGGAAAAAAAATAAAAATCTGATTTTTCTGCTCTATGCGCGTGCTTACCCTTCTCCTTTTCTTCTCTCTCTCCCATGAGGTGTCATATATAATAAATAAAATATCTAGGGGGTAATGATGAGTTTGTTGGGTGCGAAATACCCCTCATACCCCTAGAATCACATTTTGTGCATGAACCTTATCCTCCAAGCGGCAGTGGTACATTGGCAGCTCTGGCAGGCGGTTACAGCAGTCCTGTGCAGGGACAGCTGTCCAGTGCCAGCTGTCCTTATGCAGAAATATCTTTTTGTCTTTTTCTGCGCCAGAAACGCCAAGGCATTTCAATCTGCTCTAGCAACGTGTGATGTTGCGGCATTACTTCCCAAAGAATCCTTTTCCTTGCTATTCCCTGCACACTATAAACAAACTGCACCTTTCCCTCAAACAGCACCATTAAGAAATAAAATAGTACAACCACCACAAATGCAACTATATGCAACTACATGATCCTAAAATGACTAAAATTAGCTTTTAAACAAACAATAACTTAAGTGAAAAAGGCTTTAAAAGTAGCCTTTTTAGGAAGTTAACACACCCCCAAACTTAAGCTATTGCTTGTCCTCAAGCAATGGATAGCAGTTACATAACCATAATGTCATGGCAAAGTTCGATAGTAAGACAGTAGGATAAAATTGAATTTCAACCCTCAGAACGATAGGCTTCAACATGCTAGACTTATCAAGAATTCAAGTACTTTTCTCTAGGTCCAAATCCTTTGTGGTAGTGTGTGTGCGTGGTTGTATCCAATCTATACTTAGCGAATTTAGACAATTTCTAATCAAGTCCCCTAGTTTTTGTCAAGGTATTTACTTATCATTAAGCACATTTTTACTCCTTTTTTTTATGCTGTTACGAAGGGAGTCAGCTCATCACACCTACTCTCCCAC